TAGAAATTTATATTACATTAAATATATTAGAAAATATAATACAGTTATTTGTTAATATAACAAATGATAAAATTGGCAATTTTTTATTTATTTTTGAGTTCCAATAGAAAAGCTTTTATTTTTATAAAGATACTGTAAATTATATCAAAATAGGCACTCATAAATAATAATTACAAAGATCGAATTATACAAAAAAAAAATTATCACTAAAATTATTACAAAACATTGCGATATAAAAAAAAGTATTACAGCAAACAAAGACAGGTTCAACTGACTTGATTTATGTCCAGTACAATTTCCGTACGTAGTTGCAGTGGTAGTATAAATAAAAACTTATTTTGGAATTAGGTACTATTCATTTAAAATCATGGTTACCCTAACTATCTTTACTAGTGCACAACGATTGCATGTGCGCACGTTCGTTGATTTGTTGCCCGCTTTATTGATGATCCTACCTTCAAAACATGAGCGACATTCACTCTTACTCCATTGAAACAAGGGTGATTGAACAGCACACCTATTATGGTATCCATAAAACTGTTTTGGAATAGGTAGATTCGTTTTAATTATTATTGTGAAACATCTCAGTGTTATTTTCACGCCCTATAGGCAGCGTTTTTATTGGGAAATAGAAATTGTAATTGCTTGAAGAAATATCATAAATGCAGAGAAATAATAAAAGTAATCAAGATATCATTGTCCCAAAATACTAGAAGAAAATGCAGTGTTGCCACACACCTTATTTGGGCAGTTGTGTAATTATAAATGAAGTGAAGGATCCGAAACGTCTGAATAATGTAATAGTTTTTCAAAAATACATGTGGTAAAGCCCTTTAAAAAAGTCATTTAATAACACTAACTGTTTTCCCTCGACTCTAACTACATAAATTGTAGTACATGTCATCCGCGTATGTGTAAGAAAAAATTCTCATGGTTGGATCAGTATTTTCGAAGATTAAGGGGGTAATGAATTAACAAATAAATAAAATTACAAAAAATACCTTTTTTTTATAGATTAAAGGCTTTATTTATTAAAACGATCATTCAAAACGAATTCTGTTATATCAATAGCATATTTGCTCCTCTGCTGTTGCAGGTGACCATGGGCGGCGGTAATCACTTACCATCAGGTGATCCGTCTGCTCGACTGCCCCTACTCCATAAAAAAAATATAATTATAAAAATAATATCATCATTAGCATTCCTAATGGATGGTTATGGACCAATGCGGATTGGTGAGTATTAACGATTGCAAATGAAGCCGGGACCAACGGCTTAGCGTGCCTTTAATTTTTTAAACACCCATTTCATAACAACAACAATTGCGGCCCGAGGCGCTTATCTGCTTCGCCACCGAGCTACTCTATATAATATACATATATAAAAACAATTTCAGCATATAAAATATATTCAATTAAATGTGGACGGAGCAAATCCTCAACGCGTTTTATATTTTACATTATGTTTTTTTAACATAAAAATGTAGCGAATATCGAAAAACAGCCTGAAATCGCGATCTTAATTGCTTGTAATTTAATATTTGACCATGTTAATTATTTCTACATAATCAGTGATAACACACAATGATGAGCTCGATAGCTCAGTTTTTAACTTGTTCAGTCTGCGACCTGTAGGTTGTTAAATCTTGTTCGTTATCCTATATTTATGTAGTAACAGGAATGTAACGCGAGTGGTCATTCAGCTCACTCTGTTTCCGTTATTTTTATGTAAATCAGATCATTTTTGCTTCACGTATTAATATTAATACTATATTTTTATCATTATAAGTATAAACTTATAACGATAAATAGACATTATCATGAAACAAAAATGCTGAAATTATAATAACAACGCCAACTATTAGCAATCAAATCAATAAAAATATGATATTCAAAATTAAGATTTACCAATCCACATCTTCCCCAAATACATTTGCCTTAGCAGGAATAACTCAGTTACCATCTACTAATCGTAATAGGTATGAAGACTAAAATTTTGTCTGTCTGTCCATCGGGTATCGGAAGTAAATCATCGGGAAGAATATTATACACGTATTTTTTATTTTTTAGCGTAATCAGTAAAAAAAGGAATTACATTGAGTTTAAATGTCGCATGACGTTACACCTTTGTACATGTTCTACGATGTTGTGACGTAGCGAGTACCCACTCCTAAACTTAAATGCCTATTATATAAGCTATTTCTGTATTTCTTGTTAGATTAAAGCAAAAAAAATATACGTATCTAATATTTTTCTATTATTTGACTGTCGTACTAAATATAATTTGTATTTTTTAGTCCAGTTATCCTGCCTATAAATTTTATGCTGATAAAAATAGGAATAATTTATTCACAAATAGTCATACATTTTCGCAGATCACCGTTGCGAATATTTTCAACAAACGCCGGCTGCGTCTGAGTCGATTAGAAAGCGCGGTCAGCCTAGCCGCTGTCGCTTGAAAACACCGCTCATTATCTGACTGTTTTTCTGAGATGGATTTGCACGGAGCCGCTTTAAAAGTTTCGATTCTCATTGGAAATGTAAAATTGGTATTAAATGAAACGATTCCACAGAGTATAAAAAAATAAAAGCCACTTCAATAAGCCGTTTTGGTTTTTGATATTATTACGAGTATTCTATAACAGAAGTTGCATTGGCTTCCTCTTGATGTTAGTAACTAGAAAGATATCTTTATTCAGACTGACACTATCATCGATTATGTAGAAAGTTAAGAAGTAGCTGATGCAAGGACTATAATAACCGGACGCTGCCAACTTGGTTTCCCGGCAACCAAAACATATATACCTAACTATATTTGGAGACCTAGCGACTGAATTTACATTTACGCAGATCGAAGAAGTTGAAATAGAAACTACTAAAGAGAGGGAAATCAAGTGGCCGGTCACCAGACCGACTGCGCAGTTATATGATAGTCCAATTATGAGCAGCAGTCAGAGCAAGAAAAAAGAAACATTATTTAAGCAGGTTAATTATTTAAACTACTTACATTTGTAAGTATTGCTCCGTTATCTTAGTAAATCAAGCATAGGAATGTCCTTTCTACTTATTAAGCGATTTATTGGTTAATATTTTTTTATCCTGAGATAAAATGTCGTATGGTATAAAAGTCTCTAGCGGTTCATTTCGTGCACTCACCGTCCACTAGAGGCCTTTCACTCTGATGCATCGACCGAGTGGCCCGCCATTTTATTCAATGTCTGACGCGATTTCATACTGTTTTTATTTACAGTATTCGGTGAAAACTTCATATATTTCGGTCGGTTATATTTGACGGCAGTCTTTTTTTAGAAATGGTTACAAATATAATAGTTCTACATGTTTTGTAGATTTTACTATTAAGCGAGTTAGGATTGTAGAACAAGATTGTTATAAAGATTTCACATTATAGTTTTGAATGGAAACATATGCATGTCAAGTTTATTGGGACTTACTAAATTACTTTTTTTGTCAAAGAAATGCATACCACTATCCCGGCCATATTAAATTATTACTTGAAAAGAAAATGATGTCTGAATATGGTCTCGGAGCTAAAATGTTGATTCCAAAAATTGTAGTTTTTAAGGTTATATATCTTTAATCGTTTTGTATGCTATGTAATACTCTTTACGACATTATTCTTTATGTACAGCTGAAGTTTTAAATCACCTTTGCCCTAATTAAAGCATAGCGGTAGTCCATAATTCAAGAAGATATTGGTGAACATACTTACTTATATAAAGAAATTCATGTATCTGTTGAACATAGAAATTTCTCCTTTCCGAGTTTGAATGAATACAAAATACGCTATCTTTTAATTTTCGGTGATATAAACATGTCGTCTATGTAATTTGGTGGTATTTGGTAAAAGGCATATTTTGTCTTGTTGTAAAAATAAAACTACTAACTCGTTTTCCGTAAATTTTATATGGGTCTACCTCGGGCCCTTATTCTGTGTAACAAAAATTATGACAATCGTTTGACAATTTAATAATACTAAAAATAATAATTTTGAAGTCGTTTAAAAAGTAAAAAACTGCAGAATCTGTCAAAGAATAATGCTGTCCCTAAAATTCGCCTACTTCCATATTTTCTCGTAATTATACTTTTTATAGGAAAATAAATATGCAAGTCACTTTATGGCTGAGGATTTGACGGAAATAATAAAAATCTAAAAAATAAGTTTTATTGATAATGATAATGTAATTTCAAAGACTTGCTTTCCACTGGTTGTGGCCATTTTCAAATTATAACCCAACCCAGTTCTGGCCATTTTAAGTTAACTTTAACACATCATAGCTGTTTAACGCTGTTAGTTTTGCTATAATGCAACATTATAAAAATCGTTAGAATGCTTTGAAGTTTTAATTAGCCAAAAAGGGGTCAGTGGTTGAAACCGGGTCTTCTTCCCGAATAAAAGCTCTATTTGATCTGTTAAATTATAGCCCTAAATAATATGAAGTCATTGGGGCTTCAGTTACGCCACAGAGATACTGGTGGTAGCTGGTAACTTACGTTTTTAATTACATTGCTTTTATTTTACAAATAATGAAATTATAAGTATACAATAATACATTTATTGTCTTAAGTACGTATAAAATAGATCATAATTTTAACAGATACTTTCAATAAAGTTTAGGCAAGTTTAAATGCTCTGCCCTTTTTTCACCATTATGTAAATAAAACAAGTACATAAAGAGAAATGTATATCATAAATCAAAATGATTCCAATTGGAGGGCGTTTATGATCAAGATAGTTACCGTCTAAGAAACCTGTTTTTTTTTTTAAATTTATATAATTATTTACCAACGTCTTATATATTTATACAGTATACAGAAATTGTGAATCTTATAAAATACTTAGTAAATGCAAAGACAACTATAGATATCACTGCATGCAATTTAACAGCTATCTATAAAGAAACAGAAACAGTATATCAGCTACATTATACTTATTCCTAATTATTAAAATAATTTTACAATATTTTTTTGAATTTATTCTTTGACAACCAATTTATGTCAATTATATTACTTATACTATCGTATAATTGACTCAAACGTAAAACGGGTGAGTTAAATCCCAAGTCATTCCTACGCCTTGGAGAGAGAGAAACTTGACAGACGAGCGAGGATACCTCAGTATCCTGAGCCTAAACTTACTAAGCAATCCGTAGCAATCAAATTCATTCCTGATTAAGAAATATAAAAAATTAAGGCAAGGAATTTAAGGGTGTCATTTTTAATATCTTGATTCTGAATATTGATTGGAACTTTAGGGTTTTATGGAGCTAATACAAAACTTCAAAAATTCGACACGATGATACAAACTTAATATCCATAAGAATCTCCATGAATTGCCATCAAAACAGTGATAATATGTTCTCCATTTCTACGATTTTCAAATCTCTGTTTCAACATCTCGACGAAAACACAAATAAAACGTCGATTTATAATACAAAAATAAATTTTACAATTTTGTATGATCTCAATAATTCTAAAAGTGTGACTTGTTTATAATCGTTGTCCACGAAAGTCTTAGAAGCGGTTTCTTATTTAAAAAATATTTTGTGTAAAACACTGTTAGTCCAGAGGCCTTATTATTAAGTTGTATAAATTATTAAGCTTGTTCCCAGAGCGATTTCAATTTTATTTACTACATAATTTCAAAAATCACTTTCGCAATCTCTAAAGCTTTGAAAGATTTTACGATAGGTGTAGATTAAAGGAAGTCAATTTCCGGAGGAAAACAGCCTGTAGAGAGAGACAGGTCTGTCAAAATCAGATAGCATTCCTTACTTACATATACAATCAGTTTTGCTATTCTGTAATACAATAATTACCTCGAACTCGACGTTGAGCAAAGCACTGTCTGACAGCATAGAGGTTAAATGAGATAAATTTGAATGAATATCTATACTGTAACACCATCAAGTTCGTCGGTGACTTTTAACATAACAACACAGTTGGATCAACAGCCATCTAAAAAATGGAAGAACTATATTTTTTAATCACTTATAATATTTTCGGAAGTAACTTAGCTAAAAAAATCACAGATCACTATGCTATATTTATAAAGTTTACAAGTATTACTTTTATTACAATTCAAACGAATACTTCTATGAATAACGGAATAGATAGATATAGTTTTGTTTTGCCGTAATTAAAGAACAAATACAAGTTCTTAAACCAAAACAAACAATATGCGTATGTTCCCACTGCTACGACATAGGTTTTCCCTATAAATGAAAATGAATAAGTTTTTAAATTAGTATAAATTTTTGGGTGTTAGTGACTGCAGATGCAGCCTGGACCAATGACTTAACGTGCCATCCGAATAACAGAGGAGCCCGAGATAGTAAATTTTTGTAAAGGAACCGTGACTATCCTTGGAAAAAAATACTGAACTTCCACATCACTAATCGCTAATGCGCCATTGAACTCCGCATTTGTTTAAACAAATATTAGTTTGTCAATAACTACCATCACGTTGTGTGGCGTTGCATCGACCGGACCAACTGACAGATTCTGAACTAGTCACCCTTTTTACTGCAGTTATTTGACGCTAAGTCATTGACATTGTGCTTCACATAACGTCAGTGATAATGTTACTTTATGATTTAATGTTTTAATCCTAATTGTTTTTATATTCTATATTTAATAATTTTAAATTTGATGTTCGAACCAATTATATATATAATACTTGTGTAATTAGCAGAACCTCAGTGAGCAATTTTTCAAAACCACACAGCTTGTTTCTAATAACACATAGAAGTCTTCCATCTATCCAATTAATCTTAATATAATTGCTACCGCCATGGCATCACACAATAAAATCACAATTAGCTTGCACTTTCAATGTCCTGTAAGCGCCATAAGTGCCTTCGTCTAAATCCTCTTGCCGATTTAAAGATCTACACGAGTGAGTGCGTGTGATCATGTCATATGATTCCTTATTTGTTCCGTGCAGACGCACTACACTTCTGTGCCGAGACTGCGCGTTCTGTTCTAGTTTGAGTTCAGTGTTGTAAAACCTCGTTTTTTCTGCTTCGAGCCACTTGGAGTTAGAGAGAATCTTCTTTGTCCATTCGTCTGTAAAAAAAGACTGGTGTAATTTTATGTAATGTTACAGCCTGAATACAAAATGATAAGTCACGTAAGTTAACTTAATCTGTATGAAGTTTAAATTGAAGATTAATGCCAAAGCTCTCAAGACCCTAAAGGACTCCAAAGCAAATTTAAAAATATACTGCTAAAATAATTGAAGTTTGAAGCTAAATCCTTAATTTAAGAGTCCTAAATTTAGGTCTTATCAGAAGGAGCATATATTTGAGGTAATATATAGTCGGTATTAGATTATAAATACAATCTTAGAAGTAATTAGCCCAGAACAGACAAAATTATTGATTTTTTTAAAGCTTCAAAATAAAAGAGTTCTAGAAAAGAAAATTCTAGTGGCGTGTCAAAATAGTTCTTTTAGGTGGTAGAACGGTGGTAGAACTATATAACCCTTAAAATAAACAAAAAAAAACTAATTTTTAAGCTTTCGCTTTGTCCCCACAACTCATATACCAGAGGGTATTAATTTATAAAATGTCAGCCAATTACTAACCATTGAGATACTTCATGGCTCCAGCCTTCCCTCCATATTCGTTGGGCAGTGCTTCCACTGGGTAGTAATCTATGTCCATGGTTTTATTAATATCTTTAGCTATGGGGTGTAGGGTGATCTTTTTGCGTCCCCAAGAGTACAGTCCAATGTGAAGCATCAGAAATGACATTAATGTACTCATCCGCTTTGTATTTATCATGTGAACCTCGGAGAATTTAAATGGGTGTGCAGACTGAAATCAAAAAGAAGATAAATGACAAATATACGAAAGTGTGATTAATAATTGGAACAGCTTTTCCTTTAAATACCTTAATGCACTGAACAAAATCTTTCCAATAAGATCCAATGAAATGGTCTTTCACATGTGAAAGTTGTAAGTTAGCAACGTCTATGAAGACCATTTCTTCTCCAGGTGTCGGGTCCTCACGCAACCTGAAAATAAGGTAACATTTCGTTACATTACCACTACGAAGGTTGGAAAGTCGTTACTTCTGATAAAGAGCTGGTAAGTTAATTTCGCTCGTTCTTCTTGTCAGTCAAAAGACGTCCTGAATTAGTAGCAGAGACAAACATTTGAACGATTCAAGTGCTTCAAATATACCATTTATTTAGTCTAGGCTGTAACACGCACTTGGAAATCTCGAAAACTACGTCATTGGTTCGCAAATCTACGGCAAAAGAACTTGTACTGAGAAGAACCGGCAAGAAACTCAGCAAGGGCTGCTTTTTTCTCCCTGTTTTATGTCATATAAGGGGTATGAAATAGATAGGTAGAATATTATTTATTGTAAATAAACAAAATACAATTATTTAACGAAAACAGGAGACATACAATTAAAGGCCTCGTCACTAAAGAAATCTCTTCCATTCAACCTTGGGATAGAGTGAAATACATATAAAACACCTTATGATGGGGTAGTGGATGGTTTCCCTATAAACAATTAATAGATATTGAATTATAGACTATTATTAGGTAATTATAACAGGAGTAAAAGGAAATAAAATAGAAATCTTGTTAGAAAGTTCATTAAACTATCAAGTCACTCAAATTGAAATAGGCTGGTGATGTTGAAACAGCTAAAACTGGGTCAACCTACCTGTATATTTGGTTAAAGTGGCAACTCACCTTACGTCTAGTATCATCAGCCATCTTCTGAGCAAAGCCTTGGCTGACAGCACACTGTAAAATCAAATTCTCTTTTCAATAAAAAATCTTTTCAAATTATTTTTTTTTATATTAGAATTTATTCTAGTAGAACACAAATTCTTTTCAAATTATCTTCTAAAATTACTTTAAGAAAAATCGGTATCAGTTACCTAAAATTTTTTGCTAACCGAATAAATGCTCTTCCATCAAAACTAACAGACCTAACAAACTGTCGACTTTAAAAAATTCTTGTCACTTTGACTGCATGTGAGACTATTTTCGCATAGATTAGATGATTTTTATCTCACTTAAAAAAAAGATTATTAATATGTTGTTGATCGAAGTTAGTATGACTTTATAAGATAATATGTTACATACATATTATCTTTGTAAATAAAAGTCATATAAAAATCATTTCGATGGAATGACGCAATATTTACCTTTATTTCAGTCAATATGGGTTTCTAAGCACTTATAAATTATTCTTGAACGTATGTATTCTTTGTTTCTATAATAAGTGAAATTAAGCAGTTAATATTAATATCCCACACATGACCGCCGTCCAACTTTGAGAGGAGTTACTGGAATTTTTCGATTTTATTAAAAGAGATACTTTCATAATATATATGGAGCTATTTTACCAATTTCCACAGTCATGTGTATCCGCTCCAGGGGAGGCTGGCAGTTGAATCAGAGTGAGGCGTCTACCACCAACACTTCGGGTCTCAAGAGGCACGATATACCTGAAATAGTTGAACGTTACTTGATTTAATAACTAAAGAACATAATACTCATTTATTCCTTTTTTTTGTATTTTGTATTTATAAATTTGTATTTAATTAGTCTATACTAATATATAACAGGTAAGTTTTGATTATTTGTTTGCATCGAAGAGGCTTCGAAACTACTGACCTATTTTAAACATTATTTCACTTACGGGAAGCTATATCAGCTACATATGACATAGGTTTGTCATTACAAACCTATGTCATATGTAGCTGTAACTGTAACCTATGTCATATGTAAAATAAACGGTGGTATGGCACACACACCATTGTGTGTGTGCCATACCACCGTTTATTTTGTCCTTTTTTTTATACCGAGGGGAACTGAACATGCCGTCGACCTGGACGAAAGGCCAACTGAACCCGGGTTCTCCTGCTGCGGAGGGTTAAAGAACCCCCTATCTACAGCAGGCCTACCGTGCAAAACCCCCCGTACCACCCTCGCACATAGTCCGTCATGCACCACCATTTATTTTGTTGTAGGTGTCAACATGCAAACTTTTTGAACTTGATATTCAACATCATTTCTTTTTATTGTTTACCTTTCGTAATTTGAAATTTTGACTAATCAAAATATAATCTTTATGAATGTCAGTTCGTAAAAAAATCGTCTGTTGTGTTTCAACTACACATATTGTAAATCGTATAATTTAAACATAAAATTTTATTAATGAAGTTTTGTGATTAAAATATAAATTATATAATATAATAAAAGTATCCTGAAACTTGGACGATTCAAGTTTTTATTAAAAGAAACCCAAAAAGGGGGATGTATTTGTTTTATTAAGCAATTTAAATTTTATATTTAGTTTAACATACGAACTGTTTTATATTCATTTTTTGTTTGTTACAGTTTCTTTTCTTTACCATAAAATAAATCCGTTCTCAAGCTAGTCAGCCTTTTATTATTTGTCCAAGCATCGAACCCGTCACAGGCTATAATTTAAGTGGGTGAAGTCGTACATCATCATCATCAGCCCTTTTACGTCCCCACTCCAGGGCTCAGGCCTTCCTTATGGATGGTTAATACAACTAATGTCGTATAAATCACTAACGTGTCTTGACAGCTCGCCAAAATGTCTTCGTCGTCAGGGTGTCCACCGTGCCACAATTCAGTCAAGCCCCCTGGCCCTCTCGCTTTGTAGTACCGTCTTGCTCGTCTAGCAGCTGCCATCTCATCGCCATTGCAGGTGGAGAAGAATAGACTAAGCACTGTCAGCTCCTCTTCAGTGGCCTTTCTTGTCAAGTTGTTGCGTGCCCATCGTTCAGCAAACGACGCTGCTCGAGACATCTTGACACTAGAAATTGTTCAAATTAATGATTTTAAAAAGCAAGTTGTTGTTGCATATAAATTATTTTAGACCAGAAATCTTGTATAAACATTAAACAAGTCCAAACACGATGAGTTTCCATAGCCACTTTCACTTATATCATCAAACCAAGGATATTGGGTCTGATTAAAATTCTTTGCAAGACAAATACGTAGGCGGGATGATAAATAGCTAGCCCAACCCATATTTTGTATAATAACGATATAAAATCTCCTTAGTATTTTACTCATTGGTTCATTAGCTGCCAGTGTTCCAAATTTCAAATCGATCGTATAGTTTTTCTTAAATTAATTTTCTTAAATTTGTTTTTTCTGCAAAATGGATAAAATTGAGCTACGACCTGTGATAAAGTTTTTGCATTTAAAAGGATTAAAAGGTGGAGAGATTTTTTCGGAGATGAAGGATGTTTTGGGAGAAAATGCTCCTTCATATGCGACCATAAAAAATTGAGTAGCTGAATTTAAACGTGGCCGTACCAGCACCCATGATGAACATCGTACAAGACGTCCAAAAAGTGCCACTACTCCAAAATTGTGATCAAAATTCATGATGCAGTTTTAGCTGACCGAAGATTGAAACTTTCCGAGATAGCTGATACTGTAGGCATCTCTAAAGAACGGGCGCATTACATTTTGACTTAAGAATTATGAATGAAAAAATTATCCGCAACGTGAGTGCCGCGATTGCTTACAGTTGACCAAAAACGCGTTCGTATGCAAATTTCACAAGAATGTTTGGACTGCTTTAAGAGCAATACAACTGATTTTCTGCGACGGTTTGTTACTAGAGACGAGACTTGGGTTCACCACTATATACCTGAATCAAAAATTCAGTCTACGCGCGGGATAATACGCACGTACACACGTGCATAACTACGATGGCGAAATTCAAAGAATTAAAATATGATTTGCTACCACACCCAGCTTATTCTTCTAATCTGGCACCATCTGACTTTCATCTATTCCCTAAGCTCTAATTTTTTTTAGGTGGACAAAGATTTGAAAATAGTAGCGAGGTGATATCTGCCGTGGACAGTTATTTTGAAGGGCTTGAAGAAAACCACTTCAGGGATGGCATCAAGGCTTTAGAGCATAGATGGATGAAGTGCATAGCGCTTCAAGGAGACTATGTTGAAAAATAAATATACTTTAACACACTAATTCAAGTTTTTCTATTCTAGGCTAGTTATTTATCATCCCGCCCTCGTAAAGTGAACTCAAACATTTCAAGGATTCATAATCAGCCCTATTACGTCCTCACTGCAGGGGCTCAGGCCTTATTATGGATTATAAATGAGGATGGGCCATGACCCTCCACGCTGGCCCAATGCGAATTGGAGAGTATTAATGACTGCAAATGCAACGACGGTCAACGGCTTAACGTGCCTTCCGAAGAACAGAGTAGCTCGAGATAATATACCTACTATTTGTTTTTAGTCACCTGTGTATCCTGTGACCGACCCATGTGAAAACTGCTTAACAATAACGACCGCGAGTTGCGGCGCTTATCTATTACGCCACCGAGCTACTCAAACGACCGGATTGCTTATTCAATTATAGAGACACCATTGCTCAAACTAGCTCTATTGCCAATGGCGAACTTTTTTATACATCATTGTCTATTCCATATTATGTAGCATTGTGAATGCAAAATACCAGGAGAACGACCGCCTAATTCCTCTAGCTATAACTCATGTCATCATATTCGTAGATAAATCAATAAAATAGTTAGATTAATAGCGAGAGAGATAGGCGATCGCTCTGCTGTTCATGCAATAGACAAAGCCGGCACAAATCAATAGCAGATCCTATTCAGTACTGAAAAACAAAAGAATACTCTAATTTTGAATTGAAGGAGCAACAGTCAGTAAATTGACAATTCAAAATATTATTTTACCGTTACTCGGAAGAAGTAACATTACTATTTAGGAAGCAATGACAATATAGTGCGGTGCGTCGACCCGATGACGCATGTTGCGAGTAATGACGGGAGTTTTCAGAGCCATTGTTATAACCCGTACGAATTAACATGGTAGCTGAGGGCCTTGTCCTCGAACATGTCGATCTATTTTATATTTTTGTTCAAATCATATCCGTGCAGAATTAAAGATTATATATGCATCAGATGCAATGTCAGCAGGGCGATTCTGAAAAAATCCGAACCCGAATTCAAATTCACTTCATTAATTGAAGAATTCATCCATTTTTGTATAAAATATACAACACAAAATTTATTGATTATAACTTATATACGTGTCTCAGCTATTTTATTCCTATGTCATTTCGAAATTCACTTCACTTATGCCACGAAACGTTATTATCAATTCAAGATTGAGCGGATGCCGATTTTTGAAGTGTATACGGACGGATACCCGAGTGAATTCGAATACGGATTTTTACAGAATCGCAGGGCAGGCCATACCTACGTTCCATTATACATTATCGAAAGATGTGTTTTATTTGCATTTTGAACATAGACGAATCTCCTTTCAGAAGAAATAGAACAGGCCTTCAGATGTCATGTTGATTCGTACGAATAGTAGTATATTGAAAAATTGCTGACGATCGATGAGAATTAAAAAAAATTGAAAGAAGTGAACGGACATCGTGGCTGGAAACGGTATAAGCCTTGCCATAATTCAACATTTTATAGGCCTACGGTAAAATAATATAATTATATTTTATCAATTTCGCATTCACAATGCTATACTGAAAAATATTATTAATACAAAATGCTTATAAACATCGGTGAGAATACGCTCTGTAGTAACGAAAAATAACAAGTGCTTGAAGGATTCTTCAGTCCTGTTAGGTCCTGGGTAGCTGAGCGGTTAGAGCGGTCGCCTGGATTGCAAAATGTCATGGGTTTCGAATCCTATCTCACGGTGCCAGGAATAAAGTGGATTTTCAAGCATTTTGTATTAAGAATAAGACAATTGCCTGTAAGTTAAAGCCTTAAAAGTCTTGCAGGACCAAAAGGGCCAAATATTGGCCAAAACTGCGTCATCTAATCTATTTATCTGCATTTCATATTTTTCCACTTAAACATCTATAACGCATAACTTTAGCCGTATAATATTATGTCATTTGGTTGTTTTCCATTCATAGAGATCCGGTGTATATTGACAGCCGAAATAATTTAAACTGTAAGGTCAAGGACAGTAAATAAATATTTGAACGTAGTGATTGCAGAAGCCTTTCTCTGAATGATTCATCCGTTTCTTTGTCAATAGATGGTGTTTTCCCTATTTGGTGCTATTATTTAAAATCAATTGATTTGTAATTATGTTTCGCGGTCATGGCGTAATAGTATTATTGTGCTTAACTATAGTTAAGTTCAAAAATATCTACTTCAATGGTTCGACTTTTTGAAACACTTTTTATTTCAGACTAGCTTTTTACCCGTGACTACGCCCACGTAAATTATAGCACACTCGTATTGATGTAGCTTTCCGTGTGAAATATTTTTTTTCAAATTAGTCAATTAGTTTTGGAGCAAAACAAACAATTAACCAAATCCTTCCTCGATAAATATGGGAAAAGTAACAAATAAAACCCAAAGTTTAATATATTAATAAAATTACGTCATAAAGGTGAAACATAATACTACAAACGAAATTGTATATTAAGACTACATTATTCACTCCATATATTTTCAAAGGGGAAGTTTCAGCAATAAAACTAGGTACGAAAGGTAAATTGTAATGATAAAACATTTTTAATCAGGCTAAAACCAATATTTATTATTTTTATTAGTTTTTATACGTCTCTGTCTTAGGAATCAAAATACTAAAGATCACAATTAATCAATATTTTTATAAAATATTTAGAACGTAAATCCGAACCAAATTATCATAAATAATCACCGAACAAAATCAACCGAAAACTTAACGTTACTATTAAGATCAATCAAAGCCAAGCCCAAAAAAATGCCACTAGATAATTCATTTGAAACTTGCAGACTATAAAAAGATATTACCTACATTAATAAATTTACATTATAAACTTGTGTAACGATACAAAAAAGTACATTTTCTCAAATTAAATTGAACATAAAATTAGAAGGATGACTGACTAGTTAAATCAAAGTTTAATTTGAATATAGTATAATAATAATATAAGTGTAGAATAGACCTAAAATTATTATCACTCACTTCGTTAAAACAAACAAAAATAAATATTTTATTGATTTGATTACTAATAAAATCTAACACTTAATAAAAAAGCGCTATATTTTGACGAAAGAAAGGCATAAACTGAGTGACGAAATTGAAAGATAATCGAGATAGTAAAGTAAAGTAAGTAGTAAAGTAATAATCTTGCTTTATCACAACACGCATTTTATTAATTTTAAACAGTATCGGCACGTGGTGTTACAAAAATTAGTATCGAAAGTTTATTCGACACTCCAAAAATAAAGGAAATGCACCTTAATCCTTATTGATATGAACGACATACGTCATATTTGTACTTTAATGAAGTAACATACCAATACCGCGATGTAGATACAAATAACGCCATCTAGTTCCGTATATAACCAACGTATTAGGCAAAACTTAATGATATTATTATAAGTTGGGTGACCCCACGGTATATAAAAAAAAAACACGAATACGTACAGTATATTACATTCAGCTGGTTTAAGCTCCAATACTATATTCCTATCAGCCTATCTATACTTATATCTAATATTATAAAGAGGAAAGATCTGGATTGGAAGCTTCATCATATGTGGGTAACATAGGCTATAATTTACGCAGGTGAAGTCGCAGGAAAACAGTTAGTAACGGTAATAAAAAGGTTTCATCGTTTTTAATCGTCAACAATAAATAAATACGTAACATACACAAGCTATATTGGTTTAACAAAGAGGTAAAAAAAAAACATATTATATTTTCGGTATCGGTATTAAATTACGGTATGTTAATAAGATCATTGGTAATACGAACATTTGGAAATACCAGGGTA